AGAGATTTATTAATATCCATTTTGAAAATACTCAGCACCCACAGGCTAATTGGGAAAAGAACTCCAAAGATTCAGAACCCTCCGAATGAGAACTTCTCCCCTTACTGCAGACCGAAATGGCTGACCCCTTATCCTGTCTCTGACCTCAATTTCAAGATTTTCCAGCTGGTGTAAATGGCCTCTCAGCATCCACCTTGTGAAGCTCTCTCAAATTTTTATGTTTTAACTAGATGACCTTTTTCTCTAAATTGCAGAGAATATTGGCTAATTCTATTCAATTTCTCTGTACTTCGTCCTTGACTGAATCTAGCGTGAATGTTGCAACCCCTCCAAGGTATCCTTTCTTCTGTAAGGAGACTTAAAGAGCACAGTACTTCACAGTACCAAATACCGATACAACAATAGTAACAAACCTTCCTGATTCCTGTACTCCAGGTCTTTGTTATAAAGATGACTACGCTGTTTATCTTTCTAATTTTGTGTTATACGTACATCAGTCATGAAAAATTGCCAATGTACAAGGAACCCTAAATCACTCAACACAGGTACCATAATTTCCCACACTGAACTTAAAATTCTGCTTTTCTATCTTTCTTTATGGCTGTGTTTGCTGACACTCAGGAGTGTGCATAGTAGTAGCAAAATCTCTGAAATAAAAAATGAAAACTTTGAAGAAAATGAAAATATATAGGTGAAGAGAAAAAAGTCTTAACATAGAATTTTGTTTTGTGATTTTTGAAAATCAGCTTTATTGTATAAATGTGGACAGATTTTAAACAAAAAATGGAGTTTAGCATGTGCATATGAAATTTATCATCTGATGGCATCCGTAAGTACACTCAGTCTATATCTCTTTGCAGCCTCTGGCATCTTCCTTACAGCATACTTTTCCTCCTAGGTTTCTATCATTAGCAGAAGTCAATTTGTTTCCTGAAGGCTACTTCCTGATTTTTGGACGTAACATTTTGGTTTTCAGGTCCTTCCCAAGGGTAAAGCCTTCACTATCGGATATTTTTAAACAATGACTTTGGGCAGGCAGCCAAAAAAAAAAACTGGTTTTTCCTTCTTTACCCCATGTTGGTTGGGTGGGAACTTTGCAGATGTTGGTGGTACACTTGTGCTTGTACGTGGTCAGGTCATGGATTCTAAAGGTGTTTTCAAAGAAACCTTGATGAATTGTTGCTGTGCATCTTGTAGATGGTTCACAGTGCTGCTACTGAGAGTCACCGGTGAAGAGAATGAAGGTTGAAAGTGGTGAACAGAGTGTTGATCAAGTGTGCCCCTATCCTGACTTAAAACTAATCTCCATTTTTGCAATCACTATGTCAAAGTGCTGGAACTTCCTTCCTAACAGCACTCTGGCGTCATTACACCCAAGTTTCAAGCAAGCAGCTTACTGTGACCATAGAAGGAAATTGTTTAATCTTGATTTTAAAATTATTTATTCTATTTTTCCTTTGTGCTGAACGGTATCATACTACTTGTGTTGTTGGAGCTGTATTCATCCAGGCAATTTGAAAATGTTCCACCAGACACCTGATTAGTGCCTGTTAGATGGTGGACAGGCACTGAAGAGACAGGAGAGGTACTCACTGCAGAAATCCTAAGATCTGACCTCCTCTTGGCTGGTCCAGTCACTGTTCATGGTAACCCTCAGAATGTTGTATATTGGGCTCAGCAATGGTAATATTATTGGCTGTCCAGGAGAGATGGTTAGACTCTATCCTGCTGGAGATAGCCATTGCCTGGTGTTATGTTGGTGTGAATGGTGCTTGTTACTTGCCAACTTGAACCTGAATGTTGTCCAGGTCTTGATGCCTATCGACATGGGCTGCATCAGTATCTGAGGAGTTGCAGATTGTGCAATACCATGTTCAGTCATCCCCTCTTCTGTCCTCATGGAGAGGAAAGTCTTTGGAGAAGAAGCTGAAGATAGTGGGTCTGGGACACTATACTGAGGAGCTCTTGCCAAAAAGCACTGGGATTGAGATGATTAATTGTCAATAGCCGCAACCATCTTCGTTTGTGCTAGTATGGCTCCAGCCAGCAGAGTGTCTTCCCACTTCCCATTGACTCCCGGTTTGCTAAGACTCTTTTTTTGTTACATTTGGTCAAATGCCTTGAGCTGCAACAGCCAGATTGGAGAGATACTATTTCTGATTAAAAGAGCAGTTCTTCTTGGATTCTATCCCATGCTTGCTGCTTCTCCAGTCAAATTCTGCCCATTTTCCTTGCCGAGAGACTTGTTCAGTTCTGGAGCATAGAGGAGCCATAAAGTAATATTGTACAGGGCAACCTTTTCTTGAATTTCTTTGCCTCTCTCTTTGCTTAGCCTGCTTTTCATGGGTTACATATGAGACTTCAAAGTGAATACACTTGCTGATATGTATTCTGAACTTAGATCAGCAAACTTGACTCCATTGTACATGATCCCCTTATGTATTGTCACAGAATAGATTACAAGGAGCTGAGACCCTAGCACTAGTCCTTTGACATCTCTCTATTTGTTCTGTGCCATCTTTTTAAAAAAAAAAGAGTTTTTCTACTGTTTCTGCTTATCCTTAATCCTTGCTAATATATTGCCCTCAATACCTCAAGTCCTAAATCTGCCAAAGAACCTTTTTTGTGGTCCCTCATCAAATGCCATAAACAAAGCCAAATATGTGGCATTCATGGTTTTCCCTTTGCTTGAATTTTTTGGTGTTGTAACTAATAATGTGCTAAAATGTTTATCTTTTGTAAATAGGTTCTAACTGTGCCTGACTCTGTTATTTTCATGTTATAAAATTGTAAGTGCCAACTTACTATGTTATTTTATAGATTTGGCATTGTTCCTATTATTGATGTCAGGCTAAATGATGTATTGCTGGTTTTCTGTTTTCTTGAGATGTTGTGTGTCATTTTGTTATGGTGCCTAGATCCCCAACATAACACATGGCCTGAGAATGGAAGTCAGGATTTCCCTACAATCCCTGTTTGCCACTCATAATCCTCAGAAAAACCCAGTGAATCACCATACAAACACCATCATTGAAAAGGCACTTTCTAACTTGGACTGCTGAAAGGGCATAGTCGAGAAGGGATACTTTTTTTTTGTAATGTCCACAATTCTGACTATCCTAAAAAGGAACAAATATCTAATTCTGGAGGACATGGTTGAAAGGTTTTCCAAAATATGTTTGCATCCCTCACAATTTGTTATAAAACAACTTATACCCTCCTACATTGTCTGAATGCAGCTGAAAGAGTAGCTAAAATTACTAGTCAGTGAAGTTTTTGTTTGCTTCCAATTGGAACTGAGAAAATAACCATGACGTTCATTCTTGGATACTTAGCATGCAACAGTCTGATGTGTAGGTGTTAATTTTTCAAAAGGCTGTGTTTGCTAACACCCAGGAGCAAAATCTCTGAAATGTAAATAATAACCTAACAAATCTTTGAAAAAGGATAAACAAATGTGAAGAGATAATACTATTTTAATTTTTTTTAAAAATCTGCTTTTGTATTGTTCATATTTTACTTAAGAAAATCTGAGGTGAGCATGCGCAATCATTATTTATCATTGGATGTTTGGTGTCAGCAGATTTTTCCAAAATTAGTCAGATTTGGAAAGATTCAATCAAACTGGGAAGTAACAAATATAACCCCTCTATTCAAGAAGAGAGGTTGCTGAAAATAGGAATTATAGGCCAGGTCGCTTGACATCTGTTGTGAAGAAGGTGTTAGGATAAGTGAGTGTCTTATGAAGGTAGTTTGGACAGGCTGATTTGTTAAAATTTGGGTTGTTAGGTAAGGGAATCAAAATTTGTCATGGGTAAGTAGGAATGTGGAATTCAAAACGCAAGCAGATCAGCAACAATCTTATTGAATGGTGGAGCAAGCTTGAGGAGCTAAATTTCTGTTTCTCTTATTTGTTTGGTAAGAATGGGTATAGGTTTACATAAGCGTACAACTAAGCATCTATGTTATGAACCTATTACTAACTGATTTATATTTGTAGTACACTTGCAGGCTCCAAAAATGAGTAAACCTTGTGAAATCAATTTAAATATTTGTAATGTAAGAAAACTAGTGACTGGAGACACTACAGCTTTAAACTCAGGTATTAGTGTCCCTGCAGCCTAATGAAATATTATCAGAATAGGACCCCTGTTGTGTTCTTTTAAAATCTTTCATAATTACATTGCAGCCTATTGGTGGGTTTGAGTAGTCGGCTTAAAATCTGTTTGTGTACATCAGGTTGAATTTAAATTTAGCAAATTTGCTTTTGACACGGAGGTCCTGATACAAAATTATTCTTTTGGAACCTGAAATAAATAATGTGGTTGGTAAAGCTTCAAAAATCCAGTTGGACTTGAAACATTAATTGGCTTGTTTTACAACTACCAATGTAAATGATTATTAGCCCTAACCTTTTATTAGATGGGGATCAGGGAAGGAGTAAAAATGTGTGTTAGTGACACAGCATTTCATTTATGTGCCAGTATTTCCTTCCATAAACTAGCATTGTAGGTAAAACCTGACATCCATTGAGAACTTGCACTTTTTTTAAAAAATCGTCAGTATATTATCTCACAACATCTGCATCTACTCAGTTTAGACAGCATTTGCGGAGGGAGAAGGGTCATTAATCCGAAAAGTTAACTCTATTTCTTCCTCCATAGGTTCTGCTAAATTCACTGACTGACTGTTCCTCGCTTATCTGTTTTTACTTTCAAATTTCCAGTAGTAGTAACATTTTTGTTTTATACAAATTTGTACTCCTAATGAAATTAGCTAGAAAATTCACTCTCTCAACACTGAGGCTTTGGAAGAAAAAAATCAGCATAGATCAGAAGTCAGAGTGAAGTTCTATCAATTGTCAATATTGTAAGTAAGATACAAAATTTAACAAATGATGTGAAAAATGTATTAGCACCTCACCTTCAGCTACCGTAACACACTACTGACTGATTAATGTGTTTTTCACAGTCATCATGTGCCTGCATTTACTTTTTCAGGTAACGGATAAGGGTCTCTGGGCAGATCTTTTGGAGGAGTTCAACTTTCCAAGAGGTTGCGCCAATGCAGCTTTTGCTTTGAAGCAGTACTACCTGAGGTGAGTGATAATGGGAAAATAAGTCTGATCATCCTTATTGCTTATTGGACTCTTTGTTGACCAACGTACGTGTAAAATTCAAGTGATTTTAACCAGCTATTAATCTGTTGCATTGTGTTTAATTATCGTATTAGAAGGCTCCTGATGATTTTAATTTTTTCTGGACTGCACAATATTTTTGCAGCATGCTACTCCCAAATTTATATCCACTGTAAATTTTTTTTGACCTCTGTATTTGCTTGATTTGGTACAAAAAAAATAAGGTTTTACGTTAGTGGACTGCCTGCAGCAGGTGGCGGTCTTCCCAACACATAGTTGCTGCTGTTTGTCACTACTCCTACCAGGAGGTTTGTTGTCACGTATGCAAACTCTTCTGTCTTGCACCATCCTCTCCCATCCACTGTTGTTCATCTGCAGCTATTCTGTGACATACACTACCAGGTGCTGAGAGATAATGTTGCCATAAAGCACCAGAAACTATTGGCTGTCTCCAACAGGAATAGTAGTGCTCTAGTGTCAGAAATTTGAATTTTAAGGGTGTTCCGGCACAATTCCAGGAACAGAAACCTTTTTTCTGCTAGTAAATAGGTAGAGTTCCAGAAGGATAGCGTGTGCATTCAGAAAATAAGAAGAAAACTGATTATTCATGGGATTGTGATGATCAAGGTCTGAGGTTTCTATTAAAAATAGCCTGAGGATCTACCTGGATGTTACGGTGTCCTGATTTGGACAGTATGTACTTCCTGTCTTTGCAGCCAGTCAACTAACTCTTTGAGGTTAAATAATAGAAATAATGATCAACTGCTATTGATAAATACGATGAGTAAAATAACTTTGAAACAGCAATAACAGAATGTGTTTACTCAATATTATCACTAGACTATTAGTTCAGAAATTCAAGTTGTGTTCTGGGCGCGTGGGTTCGAATCCTGCCATGGCAAATGGTGGAATTTGAATCCAATAGAAGCCTAAAATTAAGAATCTAATAATCACTATGCCACCATTGTCAGTTGTCAGAAAAACCCATTCAGTTCACTAATGTCCTTTCAGGGAATGAAATGTGCTACCCTTATCCGGTCTCACCTACATGTGATTCCAGGCCCACAGCAATGTGGTTGACTCTCAACTGCCCTCTGGGCAATTAGGAGCAAGCAATAAATGTTGACCTGGCCAGTGACCCTCACATCCAGTGAATGAAATAAAATAATTTTCCTGTAATTTTGCTTGGTTTGTTATGCGTGTTTATGACATTGTGGCAATAATACTGTTTGTCATGACAACTAAGTAACTTTTTCAGTTCTTTACTTTGTGCAAGTAGCATCGCTATTTGATCTCCTCTTGTTTAAAAATGTAATCCATTCAAAATAGTTGAAACTTACTTTTAACCGTATTTTGCTTTTGCTTTATTTCTGACTTTGTGAATATTTTAATTTAAATGGTTGATGTTTATGACTTGCTCCCATATAATCAAATACTTGTTGTATACAGTGCTTATTTCCTGTATTTTCTTTAAATATTTTTACATCGATTTTCCAGAATATTTCCCTGTACATACCAAGAAAGATAAAGGACTAAATTAATCAACCAATCAACCAATCAACCCAAGTTCACAATTCATAATAGACACAAAACATGCAAGAAATAGGAGTAGGATTAAGCCATTTGGCCTATTGATTCTGCTCCTCCATTCAGTAAGGCCATGGTTGATTTGAAAGTGGCCATAACTCCACTTTCCTACCTGATCCCATAACTTTAGCTCCCTTGTTGATTTTTTAAAAAATGCCTTTTTGGTTATTGCACTGTTGATCTTGAAATCATAAGCTCGATATTTATTGGTGCAAATGGTCTCAAAGGGTCACCAGACCTGAAATGTTAACGCTGATTTCTCTTCTCAGATGTGGCCAGGCTTGGTGAGCTTTTCCAGCAATTTCTGTTTTTGTTTATGAACAAATTTAGTGCTATGGCTTGTGCATGGTCGGCAGGTATGACTGAGCCACTGCTAAATTTTACAGGACTTCTTTTTAAAAAAGAACAGTGGTGACCATCTGAAATGATTGCAGACTACACTGCAGTATTGACATGAAACTCCTCATTCAATTAAATGACAGTAAGTCGAAGGAATTTGATCAAAAAATTCTCTCGGGAGAACAAAAGCAAAATCCTGTGGATGCTGGAAATATTCCGCTGGTCAGACAATATCTGTGAGGGGTGAAAGAGTTAACATGTCAAGTTGATATCATTTCATTAGAATTGGGAAAATTTAGTCATATAAGAGGTTTTAAGCAAGTAAGTGGGTGTTGTGAGAAAAGAACAAAAAGGAAGGTCTGTGAAAATGATTTAACCTTGATTGACTGTTAAAATTTAACTTTCGTCCATCTTGGGCAGGGCTAAGCAAGCTGTCTACTGGAGTGTAACAGATTAAAAAATTGTGGATCTGGTTTTATCCAACTCTAACTGCCAGCAATTTGAATAATGAAGAAGGAAGATTGGCGTGCAGTTGTTGTGAAGTGCAAACCTGAGAGTTTGGTGAGGAGGGGAGTGGGATGCTGCTTCCCAGTTAGAACTTTGCCAGCCTCCAGGAGACTGGGAATTGAAAAATTGCACCATATTAGTTAACCCACTAGAGAATTGACATAGAGCAAGTAAGATTCGAGAAATGAATGTTGGGTGAAAGAGAAGTTTTGGAAAAGTGTGATCCAGTTCATGAGGCACTTCCATCAGTACTGGGAAAGATGGGATCCATATGGGTGAGATGGTCTACATCTGAACCATGCCTGGGAAAATGTCCTCGTGAACTGAGTGACAAGGGAAGTGGAGAAAGTCTTAAACTATAGTCAAGGCAAGGAATGAAATTTTGTGAAGTTGTTGTAAATCAGTGTGGGCAAGGCAAGAAAGAAAAGTATGAATATGGAAAATAATAAATAGTGACATAGGAGGGGACAGAAAATATAAATCCAGAGTAAATGCATAAGACCATAAGAAATAGGAACGGGAGTAAGCTGTTTTGACCCTTCGCCTGCTGGCCATTTATTAGAATCATGGCTGATCTGACATTACATGTCCTCTTTCCTGCCCTTTCCCCATAATCCTTAATTTCCCTACTGATCAAGAGTTTATCTCCGCCTTCAAATGTACACAAGGACTCTGCCCTGACAGCTCTCTGTGGCAAGGACTCCAAAGACACTAAACCCTCAGAGAAGGAATTCCTCCTCTTCTCAATTTTTAATCTGCGACCCTTAATTCTAAGACTGTGCCCTCTGGTCTTCAATTCCCCCATGAGGATTAACATCCTCTCATCATTTACCCTGTCAGGCTTGTTAAGAATCCTATATTTTCAACGAGATCACGTCTCATTCTTCTAAATTCCAATGAGTAGCTCCCAACCTGCTTAATCTTTACTCCTAAAACAATCCGTCCATAACCAGGATCATCCTCGTGAACCTTCTCTGAACTGCCTCCGGTGAAATAACACCTTTCTTAAGGGTATCAAACCTGCTCACAGTGCTCCAGATGTGATCTCACCAGCACCTTATATAGTTGCAGTAAGACTCCGCTACTCTTATACTCCAATCCCCTTGAAATAAGGGCCAACAATCCATTATTGTTCCTGATTACCTTTGTACCTATGAGCTGGGAGTGTTTCATGTACAAGTACCCCCATGTCATTTTGTGTTGCAGCTTCCTGCGGTTTATCTCTATTTAGCTGAGTGTTTTGTGTTACAAAATGGGCAACTTCACGTTTTTCCACATTATATGTATTTGCTAACTTCTTTCCTACTTACTGTATCAATATCTCTGTTTTGTATCCTCTCGCAACCTGCCTTTCTGGTTATTTTTATATCATCTACAAATTCAGCTACAGTATATTCACTTTCTTCTTCCAAATCATTACTATATGTGGTCCCAGCATTGATCCCTGTGAAACCCCAGTGGTCACAGGTTGCCAACCTGGAAAAGAGCCGTTTATTCCCATTCACTTTATCTTGCCCAAAAGTTGTTAAGGTTAAAAATATTAAAAAGAAAAGTTTAAAGGCTCTGTATTTGAATGTGCATAGCATTTGAAACAAACTATTAGTGTAAACAGGCGTACAAGTAGGATCTGATAAACATAGTAGAGACATGGTTGTAGGTTGATGCAAATTCAGATGTGACTTTAAGGGTACAGAACATTTACATTGGATGAGAGGCTTGGAAATGGTGGGGGTGTGGCTCTGTTAATTGATCATGCTCTTAGTGCAACAGAGAGGGATGGCTAAGTTAAGGAAACCAGGATATGGAAGTATTTTTAGTCGAGGTGAGAACTGATGACGAAATTAGTTGTGCAAGTGGTGTCTAGGCCCTGAGACACTGAGCAGTGCATGGTGTATAAGGAAAGAATAGTGGGAGCTTCTTAGAAGATACAGTGACAATCATGAGTGATTTTAATCTACTTTTATAGACATGAAAATTTCGATGGGCAACATCAACTTTCAGTTCGTACAATCTTTTTTGGGATAGTTTCTTACAGCAGGACTTTCTGGATCCAACCAGAGAGCAGGCTCTTCGAGATCCGGCAATGTGCAACGAGATGGGATTGAATGACCTCCTAGTGAAAATGTTCTTGGCAGTAACAATTATAATATGATTTGAATTTTCCCTTTGGTTTGAGTAGGAGAGGAGTGGACCAAGACTAGTATTTTTAACTCCAATAATGGCAGTTATGAGGGCATGGAAACAGAACTCGCTAAAGTGAACTGGAAAATTTTGGTTTAGGGAGATGTCAATAGAGATGTAATGGCAATCACTTCAAGTATTTCAGAATTCAGAAAGATGCATTCCAGCAAGGAAGAAAAATTCCAATGGATGGTCCCAACATCCGTGGTTAACTAAAAAGGTTAAAGGTTTTAAGAAGAGGAAGTGGTGGAGACTGGTGCAATTGCAACATTTAAAAGGCATCTGGATTGGTATATGAATAGGAGGCATTTGGAGGCACATTGGTCAAATGCTGGCAAATGGAACTA